GAGGTCTACATGTAGTACCTATAAATGTAATATCAAAGCAATTGCACTTGCGGTTTTTAACAAGAAGTCGAAAATATCAGTTTTTACCAAAAATGACAAAAATATTCACCAAAATTAGAGAATTAAAGATATCAACATGAAATGAACAAACCTAAGAGAGGTCTACCCAAGGTACATATACACCAAGTATCAAAGCATTTAGGCTTGTAGTTTTCAAGAAGAAGTCGAAAAAGTAAAACATTGACACGGACGACGACCACGACGGACGACGACGGACAATCACTCATATGATAAGCTCCGCTCGACAAAGTCGACAGCGGAGCTAAAAAAATATAAACTTTGACAAATGAAGAATATCAATTTTATTCTTTGTAAAAGTGTAATGGAACAAGTTGTGAAATTCTAGCCTTTCATTTATTTCTTTTAAATTTCTTTCAAATATTTCCATTTTCATAGGTTTTATAAATGCACTGAGATATTGTAATAGTTGAAAACTCCAAGTAATAAGAAGAAAAATATTTTCACATAACAAATTACCATTTAAAAGAGAAAGAAAAAATCGAATCCGATGACTGTAAATAAATTAATCATGTTGATTACAATGTGGGTACTGAGGACAAAGGTCAAATCAGATACTGTGACATCCATGTTGTTTCAGTGTTTACCGTACGTTTTGTTTTGGTGATTTATTTGATGATTCTTTTTACTTTTCGCCAATAAAAGGCAAGTAACAAGCAATTGGACCAATAAATTGTTGCTGGTTTTCCTGTTCTTAAGGTAGCAAGAAGGGTTTTGTGACGTTTTTGAATAAAACACTCTCTGTGGATTGTCTCGTTCAGAACAGTAATTTAGCTTATATATATCAAAAGACTAAGTATAAAGATACAAGTTCGCACAAACTGGACAGTCATTGTTTACATAATTATCACGTGACATCAAAAATGGCGAACCTTGTAAAAATGACGAAGTCCGCGATTGCGAGAGCACACTGTGGAATTTCCTGGTGAAATTCACGTCATGCATTGTCCGTAATCAAGTCCATTGAAATGCGTCTCCGATAATCAAAAGACATATTATTCTGATTTCTATGCAGGTTTGTTTTTTTGTCCCCAAATTATTTCACACTTGGCACCTTTCACATACTATTATTCTGTGACAAAGCATTTTCTTTAAAAACCCAGACATATTTCGCACCATCATTATCTTTTGAACGATAACTGCGAGTTTGAATGTCCTAGTTCGAACGGTCTTGATTTGGCGGCGGTCCCAATGAGTCGTACTCAGTCAAAACCTCAACTCGAGAAAAATGCGAAAAACAGTTTTGGTTAATAAAACACTGTAGATTTGCTGCATTATTATAAATATACACTAAAAATGGCCAAACATATTAACCTCTGAAGTCTGAACTCATAAAGAGTGTCAGTGTCAAGCTTGAGCGTGAAAAATGAAGAAAACTGCTGGCATTCGAGTCTGTATTCCAGGAACATTCTGGTTTCGATTGTTATGCAAACGCAAAGTGAGGGATAATCCTCTGACAAACATTACAGTCTCACTGTACACACTGAAAGTTTACAAACAAGCTAATCCTTCAAGTGTCTCTGATAAGAGATCTAATAAAACGGTTTTCATGGTGAAAACAAAATGGCCGATGTTTGAAAAAAAAATTGCTGGTTCAGATTGTGACACTGAGTGGCAGATTTTTCTTGGCCTCCTCTTTCAACACTTTCTTTTTTTCGCCATTGCGTTAGAAAAAATGGTATTAGTAAAATAGAATATTGACTTGGAAAATAAAACGATTTAAAAGAAAGTTGCGCAAAGTTACAGTACTTATTTCGCACAACCTCTCGCCCGCTTGCGCTTTCCAACCACCTTTTTCATTCGCCTTTACGACCGCTTGTTGAATTCTACCGGACAATTTCGCTTTATTTTCGACCGCGCAAACCCCGAAATATCACCACCCGCTCGCTTGCGCGCATTTGAAATTAGGATTAATAGAAAAATTTCCAAGGTTCACATTGTCTTATAATTGTGTGTCTGTTTTTTATGAATGGTCTATGGTTCGACAGCTGATAAAAGTTCAAATACTTTTTGTTTTAACTAATTGTATGCATGCAATCTGACCCTTTGACCTCGATTTGAACAATATTTTGACGTGAAATACAAAATGTATTTCAACACAAGTACAACATGGTTGTCTGGGTTTTCTTTCCTGATTGTTGAGTCTTCGCAATGTATTTTGTATAATTATTGTTGTTATCCGCCGTGGCAAAGACAAGCTGAAGGACCATGAAGCCAAATCGCAGTTCCATGCAAGGGCTGAGTGAAAGGAAATATTTCTAAGCCTAAAATAAAATCTAATATTACACCTCTTTGTGTATTTGTTAATTTTACATATGTTTTTCATGACAGTACGTCTGAAAATATCTAGAAAAATCTCGTTTTTCGTTGATAATTTCGATTGTTTGGAATGTCTGTTTACAGTGTCCCAATAATTTGTTTGGAATGTCGATCCCAGTTGGTTTCTCCATCCTGAGTCGGTCAACACAATCAGCCGAGACAGGACAAACATTTACCGTAATTCATGGGAATCATGTCCGTAATTTGTGGGCTGAAACCTCAAATATTAAAGTACTATTATTATTATAATATATATTTTATTTTACATCGCAAAACTACAACAGAGTTAGAATTGTTCACGGTGAAACAGCCGCATTGAAGTCGATGCAACTTCAACAAGCCATTTCTTACCTTGAAAGAACAAAAAGAAAAATTCGAAGAGCATCAGGGAAAATATTAATAATCATTCTCATCAATCGCTTGCTTTATTTTATTCAAATCCATGAAATTCACGAGTTTTTTTACATTTGTTGGCAACTTCCGCTCTAAAAAAGATTGAAAATGTGGGTGTGGTTCTTTTGCGAGGTCCTGTTGATAATACGGACAAATATGGTTCTGTGACCCAGGTCGTGCTCCGATCATGTGACTTTCATCCAATCAATGATATTGTAACAAAGCATATTTGACGCGAATTGAAGGGTCGTCGTACCATCCAATTTCCGGTGTCAATTCACATAGTGTTTTTGTGCTGTGACAGGCTTCATAATTATTCGCTGAAAAACATTGGTATATTTTGACAAACGGATGGAATTTGACCTCAGTTCAAAAAGAAAATACTAGGCTTAGATACATTAGAGTCCGCGGCGAATCAGTTTTCTCTGCAAGTTGGTAAATAAAGTAAACCAGAGTAGGGTCGATGATTTTCAGCCCTGAAGGACTTCCATGTGAATCCTGAGTTACGAATTGTTCATCGACTGGCCACCAAATATTTATGGCTATAACTAAATTTGACACGTTTTTTTTTAAGCCCAATAAATCATTCATACATGTCAAGCTCTGTTCGATTTTTTTCATTCATTTTTAGCCGAAAATATTTTTTGTGGGAACACTTTTACGGTACGTATACGGTATAGACTGAACTCATTCAATGATCGTTATTTTTGGAATTAATCATTAACATTTCCTCATTTCTCTGCTCTGTCAATATGAGTTACCTATGCTTTTTTCACATAACTGTCATTAAAATAATATAAAAATAGTACATCTAGAACAAGCACCCAAAACACGTAACAAGAGGTCACAGTTCAGTTGCTTTCACGATACAAGTGTCATACAACTATTAGATTTGAAGTGTCGTTCAGAATTTAATAATAGTTAATACTAGTTGTATGTTCACACTTTACTATCAAAACCACCATTTCGACCAGTCATGTGCCAGTGATCAGTGTTTGGGCGAGGGTCGGTGTTTCAATGAGCGAGGTAGCGAAAAAAAAAAAAGCGATTAAAATGAGGTCGGTTTTCGGTCGGACAAGACCGCATGGTCGGAAATTAAGCAATAAGCCTGATAAGCGGTCGATGTAAAAGCAGAAGGTTGGGCGAAATGAGTACTGTATGCCCGGACTGTACAACCATGTTTCTCAGACGAATTCTCGACTGACAATAATGCTGACAATGGACGTTAGATAAACACGCATTGTTTGCGACGTGAAGCTTATCACCCACTATATCAGAATCGTCAACAACAGAGTATACAGATAAGATGTTATCATTTTAACCCTTCCAAAGATAAACATTATGCAAATATCCACGAAACGGCAGTTGTAGACTTTTCTTCTAGCGTTTTAAAACACTAATATAAGCAACGTTATTTCGCAATTTCGATCTTTGGTAAACCTGGGATGATGTATCAAGGTCTAAAGTAACCGTTTTATCAATTTTTGAAAAATAAAAAAAAAAAGTGAAAATTTCCCTTCTTGCTACCTTAAGTATCTCAGCTAATTCAGGAATGATGAGAAAACTTGTTTTAACTATCCCATTGCGTGATTAATACAATGCTTGTGACAATCACTTCACGCATCCATTCATTGTTTTTTGTTTATTTATTCAGCCAGTTTTTCCCCAGACATCAAATCCATTGTTCTAGTTGTCACCTATGCCACTATCTGTCTCTTAGTTCTTTGTTTTATCGCCTGTCAATTAATAAGAGGTCTCTCAATAACGTCGTCGGGACATCTTCCGGGACTGTGAAACAGCCTGTCACCGAAAACAAAGGAGGGTGCTGAAGATAAATAGAGGGGCGCTACAAATTGAAGAGGGGCGCAAATAAATTAAAGAGGGGCGCTTCGCCGCTCTTAAACTCCTCGTGGAGAACACTGAATACTCAACTAACAATACAATGTATTTGATCGGGACGGGAAATGTGAATGCAGGGCGCACGACTACCTATGCAGGGCTCACGACTTCCTATGCAGGGCTCACGACTTCCTATGCAGGGCGCTGCGCCCTGCTAAAACCCCTCGTGGAGAACACTGGATGTATAATGAATATTTAAAATTTGAACATAATCAGTGAAAGCAAGTCAGAGATATGGCACGAGAACCACATTCATTAAAACAAAATGGCCGGACGCATGCACGCACGGAGGTCAAAACATAAGTCCCTGTTTTCGGAGTGCAACTGAACGGGGACTAATAAAACAGTCACAGCAATTTTACATAACATTTTTTTTTTTTTAAATATCTATTTTTGCATTTTCATCAGAATAATTTGTTTGTTTTACATTCAGATAGGGAAATCTTTAGAATGCTTCAATTTAACAAAAATTGCTCGCTGAGTATTCACTAATTTTCATATATGTAGATGTACATGTTTTTTAAATGGTTATGAAATCTTCTGTGTTTTTACTTCCAGTAAATTGTAGATGATAAGAAAGCATCTAAAGATGTTCTAAAATTATTTAATACTTGACTGTGTAATTTACTAATTATTTAAAATACATGTACATGTAAATATGCAAATTATTCATCACAACAATGCGTGTTGTTAATTTTGATCGTTTTTAAGCATATTCCATTCATGATAAAGGTCTGAAATTTTCATAGAATAATAATTTTGATTAACATCCAAAAACATCTTTAAAAAGTGGGGGGATTGGGCGAAATGAGTTGTGTATATAGAAAGTTCAGGATTGATCAACTCAAACCAAAAAATATACTTGTCATTTGCTTAGCTCAAGCAAGAAAACATAAGTCTGATAAGACCCAGAGAAGTGAGTGTTGGTGGGTGGGTACAAATAAGGGCATCTAGAGGAACTATTTAAGACAGCAGAGATTTCCAGTTGAAAAAGATAATTTGACCATGACATAGTTTTTCAACTCCCAAAATACCTGCAAAAAATATGAAAATATAGCCGAAGATAATTTGCAAGCTCGTTATTCTTGCTCTGGCAGAATAGTGTACAATTTTTCAGAAGATGGTACGAGTTAGTTGAAAGATGATGACAGTTTTATTTCAGGGGAATTTTTGCACTGCAAGTTGAAAACATTGATCGTCGGTGCAATGCAACTCTGTGCGTTCAAAATCTGTCCTACCTTCTGGTTTGTTGACCCCAGGTCACACAATATGTGAAAGCACACAAACATGAACACACAAACGATATGAATTCAGGAACCAGGAATTGAATAAGACATTTTTATATAAAATACTTACGTTGAATCATATATGTGTTCATTTCCTTGATAATAACCAGCTATAACTAACCCAACACTTCTACAGTATGCATCAATCTGAAACCAAAAAAAGAAATATTAAAATCCCACTAGAAAACTGTTAAAGGCTACGGCAACAACAAAAACATAGAATCAAAGAAAGCTTAGAAAGAACTCCCATGTGTTGAGAGTATTGGAGACACATTAAATATAATTTGAAATTACTTAGCTGAAAACTAATTATGCAAATCAGAAAATTAATATGAACAGATTTGAGTGTAAATTTTTTTTTTTTTTAAACTAATGAGGTCTGCGCAATGTAACAGAAAATCTATGTACCAAGTTTAATTGAAATGTGATTAGAACCAAAAAATTATGAATTACTATGCTAATTAGGGAATTAATATGAACAGATTTTTACCCCAAACTAATTAGGTTTGTACATTGTCCTAGAGCATCTTTGTACTAACTTTCATTGAAATGGAATAATTAATACTTTAGATATCAGTGTGAAAGCTTAAAATTGGTTGATTATGCAAATTAGGTAATTAATATGTACAGATTTTAACCCACAATTATCCAGGTATGTCTATTGTCCTACAGCATCCATGTACAAACATTCATTGACATGTGATGATTAGTACCTGAGATATCAGTGTGAAAGTAGGAAATTGGTTAATTATGCAAATTAGTGA